ACACTGAGCAGCTTTCATTGGAATGAACGGGGCGCCGCCTCCAATGCTGTATCCTGTTCTCTGTATACACATCCATGGTTTAAGTCAGTATTTCCTCTAAGCTATTGGTGTCCAATGGTGCCATGCCAATAGGCATGTTTTCATTACAACCAAAACCTCAACTATAGGTTGATTCTTGAATCATTACACCTTCAGTAGAGAAAGAAGACCCCTTGGTAAAATGTGTATGTGTGGTTTATAGTTTATTGTGACTACTTTCTTCGAGGGAAAACTGCTTTACGCTCTTCTCCACTCTAACCCGACCCTGAAGCCCCGGTCTACTTTCTGTACTAGAGCTGGTGTTACTGTTTGGGATCGTCTGTGCCTCGTCAAATCCTTCAGTCGATCATTCTTGTACGGAACCAAGAAATTACCAAAGCTGAGAGCCGCCATGTTTGCAATTTCCTTTAAAATCTGTTATCTCAAGATCACAAGTTAGGTATGTCATATTTTGTTGTCTCCAGATAACGAGCTTTGTTATATCGAGATAAAAAAAATAATCAACTTGTGATCTTGAGATAATAGCATTAAAAAAACAATTACAAGCACAGCCGTCAGCTTTCATAGAATCTAATTAAGTTGAAATTATTAGAGGCATTGTCAAGATCAAATATCCCACCAGAGGTTTGAACAGCAACGCGAATGTAAGCAAAGTAAAGTAAAAGCTTTTTTCCAGCATCCAACTGGTTTGTAGACCGCTCTCCTTCCCATCTGTGAAACCATTCAAGTGCGGAGGAGGTCTGGAGGAGTCATTTTACTTCCTTGTTATCAAACCGACTGCAGCCGTAAAGCCAGAGAGGCCAGGCGCTGGAGTTTTTCCTGACGAAAGTCTGTGTGAGCAAAGTTGATTTCAAAGAAATTATTTTCAACCTAAATGTACACCACCACCAAAACTACAAAAGAAAGGTGCAGACTTTACATTTAGCTGTTTCCTTTGAGACAACAATACCTGCACAACGAATTAAAGTGTTGAATGGTTTTGCTTCCACTGAAATTAGATTATGAAATGACTGTGAACTCCCTGGCATTGATGTGAGAATACTCCAAAGGGTTTTGTTACAGCTGATGAATAAAAATGAAAAAAAAAAAGCAAAGCTCACACTTGGCTGGATCGTAGACGAGAGAAAATAAGAAATAATAGTAACAGAAGATGGAGGAGGTCTCCAGTTTGGGTTCCCTAAAATGCGTCCTGTTCCTTTACAGGACATGGAAGGGTTGAGGTCAGTCATGAAGGGGGGGCATATGTGGGCCTTCAAGTGATGCGTGGAGGGTTTTGTCCCCTCAACTTTGACCCCACCTCTATAACTCTTGTTTCCCACCCATCATTGTCACTGCACGGATCCCACCATCTTTGTTTGTTAGTGTCTTGAGGAAGACAGAAACAGGATGGAAAGAACAAGAAAGAAGGAGGCAAATACATTGTATCCATTTATTCTACCAAATAGCATCTGCAGAGGCAGCTGAAGTCATGGAAGCAATATTATTGTGGTATGTGGACCTGGGACTGAACAGTTTCCATGCAGGAAAAAAAAGAACTGTAAGGTTCGTCCCTCCCGAAAGTTCGGCCAGTCTACCTCCACCATACTAAAATAAAACTGCAGGAACCGGAGCAATTTGAAAGAGGTGGAGTTACTGAGGGGAAGTGACGGCAGGAGAGAAAGAAGTCGATGGATCAGATTTCCATTCGTGTTAATATCGATGCCACGGTTTGTCGTGTTCACAATCTTTTGCAGGGCTTTGTTTTTTCTTTAAGGGTGTAAGGATGTCATTGGCTTCATAACAACCCTGACACTCTCTGTCCTGGCTCTTATGGAAACAAAGTGGTAGTTTTATGATGGATGCTGTTGTATTAGAAACCTTTTGTTCAAACACTGTTTCCTTTTAAAACTCTCCTTCGTCGTTTACCACAGAGGTTTGTTACGGATGGAGTGCAGTGTCTCTCTTTTCTCTGGTGTGTCATCCGGGGCTCTGAGTGCATTTTCCCAGATGTGTAATGATATACTGCTGTGTTGAACTCGCCCCTAACCAGAGAGAGAGAGAGAGAGAGAGAGAGAGAGAGAGAGAGAGAGACTCCAGACAGCTGAACTCACTTAAATGTGTTCCTCATGTGTGCCGTAATATGGAAAAGATTTCAGCGCTCTCCCCTCCGCTCACCATAACTGAGCTCAGCTTAACCCTTCAACAGCCAAAACGCTCCTGTTTAATGTAGTCTGCAGGTCCTGCATCTTTTATCCTAGCTGTGAAAACTGTCCCTCAAACATGTGCATACACACAACTGTACACTCAGATTGCAAACTTCAATACAACCACTAAAAAGTTATGTCACTGTAAATAGCTGAATTTATATTTTTTTAATGGGCTGAGCAATATGCTATAGGTCTGCTGTGCCTCCTGTAACTCATAGGAAGAGTCTGTTGGAGTGAAACAAATTAGCGAATTCCTTTTTGGGTTTGTGAGTTCACTGAAAATGTTCATTGTTGACCATTAAAACTACAATGCTAGGCCAAATACATCCGGCACACCTCAACAAGACTAAATGATGTGACTGGTGTGAGTGCTAGAGCTACATGCTAATATCAGCATGCTAACCTTCTCACAATGACAAGAGTGCTGCAGAGCTTGACAAGAAGCAAGTGGGATTTTTTCATTGGATTTTGGATTATTGCAGAAAATTAACAACACAAGTTTGTGATACTTACTTGTTTTGTTTAGCAAAATTAATTTATATGATTTTCGAAGTGTAAATGCAATCGCCAGAAGTAAAAAGCGTGATAGGCTATAAACAAACTACACCACTGTCACATGACGTCAACAACACGAAGTGAAAGGCAGACTAGTTTTCTCATTCAGTCACTCATTATCAACCACCTTTTTTATAACATACTAAAGCTTCAAAATTCACTAGTGGAATATTTGCTGACATATTTTGTGTCATAGTAAAAATATTAAAATATCTCCTTAGGTTGTGTAAACCACGTTGACTTCAAGACGAGGGAAGTGCAAAAATACTAACTCATTTCTGGGTTTTAAGACTCATTCCTTTAGCACTTTATGCTAACTTCAGCAGGTTTATGTTTATGTTTATCATCTTAGTTTAGTGTGTTAGCGTGCTAACATTTGCTAACTAGCAACTAGCTTAAAAGATAAAGATTGTATTGGTTGGTAAGGATGGTAGTTTGTAAATACGACAAATATCTTAACCAGCTGGTAACGTTTATGGGATCAAAAGGATTTATCTTCTGGATACCATGAATTCTGTACAAAGCTTGAATCCAGCCAATTAAATGTTGAGATATTTCAGTCTGGACAAAAGTGGTGGACCGAACAACCGACTCACTTGGCCCTCCCTTGAGTCATGCGTGGCAAGTGTAGCTAACAACTGCCTCTCGGGGATACAACATATCTTTGACTGTTTGCACCTGATGAAGTAGAATCATTGTGCTTAAAGGGACAATGTGATTGTGAAAAAGTATATGATAACCAGTTATCTGTAATAAATGACATTCTGTGAGTAACTGAAAAGGCAGTTGTATTCCTCAGATTGAGTTCATCATTTTGTAAAGTCTTCCTCATCATGAGAACAACCCCTCTGACTTTTAACTCTGCTCCACCAAAACCTTGACTGAACTCAAAAGATCAACTCGACTCTTTTGCATATTTATGCAGCCTTTCAAAAGAAATTAAAAAAAAATACATATAAGGACATTCTCTCGCTTTACACTTGTATGTGTTGGACTTTTTTTCCTCTCTCAAACCACGGCTCAGCTCTATCTAGCAATTAACTGCCTGCCGTGGACTCTGATGACATTGTGCGGGGATATTTCTGTCACGTTTATTATGCGTTTGCTGACCAGACTGTGAGTCATGTGGACACACAGGCATATCTAACCATGTGTTAGTCCCAGCCAAGGGAGGTTCCCTACTTTGATTTTTCTTCCATTTTGCCTTCTACTTTGTTGCAATTCTCACGTTCTTTCGCATCACTTGAGCTCTTTCATTGACAGAAAAGCTTTTTGGGGGAATTGTCTTTGCTTAAATTTTGATATATCCTCTGAAGTACGCAATAAATATGCAAGAAGCCATTTTCACGAGAGAAAAGCTGTATTTTCTTTGAGTGTATCTCTAATGGAAGAGCTATTCGCTGTGACTCAACTTCTCCACCATCCTCGCTTGTGTTTCCTGAGACATATTTATACTCTCCCTTGCCCGTACCCCTCACTCCCACCCATCCCCAAACTGACATTAGAGCGGCTCTTCAATAACCCCGCCTCCCCTCAGCTTACGTTCAACAAATATATTCCACTGGAAAGAGCCTGCAGATGTGGTAAACTATGGGAGTGAAGGGAGAAAGAGAGGCAAAGATGGAGAGATGGTGGGGAGAAGGTGAAATGATAGAAACAAAGGGGAAAACAGGAAAAGCAAGAGAAGGACGGTAATGAGCGAGAAAATGTGTTACATACACATATACACGTCACAAACTTGACCGAGGGTGAAGTATAATTTGAAGCACTTAAAGCAAATGAGAGCTCCTTAAAAAGCCCTGGCCTGTCTTTTACTCGTCCTCCCCCAGTTCCTTCCTTCCTGGGTGCTACAGAGTCAGTCAGCGGGGTGAATAATGCCGGTGGCCTCAGCATGCTGATATGCGCTCAGGCCTGTCGAGCCAACAAGAGAGCGGAATTCTTTGACTCAGCCAGCCTTTTTGATCGGTGTGCTTAAAGACTCGTGCAAGTGGCAGCGGCTTCCACGTTCTCCTCTCAATGTAAATGTCGCTAAATCTACATGCCTGACTTTTTCTGTTGCGTGTTGCTGCTTTCTTTAACTGACTAAAGGAGCAGCGGTTCACTGCTTATCGCCTCGACTAAATAAAGAAGTATATATATATATATATATATAAGTATATACACATAAAATGATGCACTCTGCATCTGGAATATTTCTCTACGATGGGATGGTTCGGACAACTATAACAATTAGTCGGGCTTAAAGTGAGATTATGGAACTTTTGAAAGAAGAATTTACACAATTCTCCTCTTACAAATGTTAAGCTAAATTCATAAGCAATATAAACAATCAGTGTTCAGTCCAACACATCCAGCGAATTAGTTGCTGAAGCATAACATGGTCTGATATGAACAGCACTTGGCTAGTGGCCAATGTTAGCGAACTTTAGATAGATGTTGCTGTGTGTCACAGCGTTGATTTCAGTTTGTTTCACTTCACAAATAAACAGACAGAAAATTAGCCAAAATACTTCAGAGATGAGGGTTATCATTCTTTGTCTATCAACGGTCTCAGCAAAAGAGTTCCTCGCTAGCTGGAGCAAGATAACTTTCTTGTGTTTGTGTTTCCTTTGTCTTCTTTCTCCTTTTCTCTCCTGGATTAAAAATGTACGATACTTCCAAGGTTTACACTTTAACTCTACTTTTAATCATTTTTGAAGCGTAAGTGCAATTTGCAGAAGTAAAAAGCTAACGCTAGGCTATAAACAAACTACACCACGATCGCATGAGTGCTATTGTACATAACTAGGCCGTGAAGGCGAACTAGTTGGTGTGAATTCATTTTGTTGTCTCATTTAGCCCGTTGTTACCAACTTTCTTTTTTAAGACCCGTGAAAGCTTCCTCAATTTACAAGAGGGATATTTACTGACGTATTCTATATATCGTAGAGCAAAACGTTTGAACCTCTTAAGCTTGTGTAAACCACAGACCTGATTTCAGGCATTTTACCAAAAACACATTAAAGAACCCATTGACTTCAAGATCTTTATTCATTCTGAAAGAAATGCAATGCAGTTGGAGTGTGAAATCAAATGATTTAAAAAACCTTATTGTTCGACATGTTGGGGAATATGCTAATTTGCTTTCTGGCTGAGAGCTAGATGAGAAGATGGATACCTCTCGTGTGGTAAATGTTAAGCTACCACCAGAAGCTGGATAGCTTAGCTTAGCCTTAAGACTGGAAACGGGGGGGCACACTCCACAATTTAGAAATGCTAATTCGTTATTTATTTTTTGTTTTTCATAGACGGGCAGAGTTTCATAGTTTCTAGTTTTTACCGACAGTATTACTGCGTTGGAAAATCCGTTGCAAGTTTTCAGAGGAGAAAGACAAAAAGCGACTGGAATATAGGCTGTAATTTGGAAACCTCAACCGCCCCTGCATGTCTGCTTTGTGTATGTGTGTGTGTGTGTGTGCGTGTGTGTGTGTGTGTGGTGTGCAGTGCTCTGTTTAATTAGTGCCTCTATCTGTGTGTGTCACAGAGGGCAGTGTGTCTGAACCTTTTTATCCATCACTCTCTGCTTCCTTCAACCCTGTTTTTGATCTTTTCTGCTCTCTGTCGTCTCTCTCTTTGCTTCAGTCTGTGACAGGATTATAGGTGTGTGTGTGCGCGCCCCTCCTCTTTAATCACTAACTCTCTCTTTCTCTCTGCTCTATCTCTAAACTTCCTCGACAGACAGCTGCCGGTGTCTGAGTGTGTGGGCCACATATGCTTTGTTTACTTTATTTTACAGTAGAAAAATGTGGACGGGCATCCTTGTTCAGAATCACGTTGTCCCCTTTTAAAATGCTTTGAGACACCCTCAAATGCATACTAAATAGAAAAAAGGAAATTTCACTCTGTTAACTCTCACTGAAATGGCTCTTTGTACTCAAAGTTGTGGTACAGTATGGACGAACACACAACAAAATAAAGAGGAAGCCACAATAAACGATTGAATAAATATAACGAATGATTCCATGCAGGTGAGGGGCAACAAATAACTAATATATATCACCATGAAACTTCTCTATAATTACGTTTAAATATGCAAATGAGGCATTATCTAATGCTATCTTTTGCTAAATTTAGGAGAAATCTACAGACGCAGATAGACAAGGTGTATTAAAATAAACATCTGTCGATGTTCTTCATGCTTCAAGTCATGCCATTTGAAGTGTTACCATCTGATCTTTTCTGTAATTCTTCGCCGCGATCTGACACGATAACATCAGATATACTCTCGCATTTCCCTATCAAGGATGCAATGGTTCTACATTTCCCTCCGAGCATACAGCAGCTGATCAAAATCGAATCTTATTGGCTGTGTGCTCTTTTCCTCACCAGCTGGCTGACAGGTGGACAGTCACCCCCGACATGAGAGGACCCACTGCACCCATAATCCTTAGCGCTTTCTTCCGCATCAGAATGGAAATATGAGACGCAGTGAGACGAGGCCAGTGAGAAAACAACGTCGACGAGCCAATCAGAGCGTAGCACATCTGGAGGAATCTGTCTGCGGGCCCAGCTGGCAGCACTATGGGAGACAGCAGAGGAGAGGAGCAAGATGTGAGATTCAAAATGACTGAGGGATTAAAAGAAACCTCCAGGAGAGGAAAGGAATGAATCTTGTCTGATTTTAATTTAGCTGACTTTACTTTACTCTTCGCCATTGCAGCATTCTTATTTCCTTAATAAAAACATGGTTAAGAAGGCACTACATTTAACTGTCACCAAAGCTGAACTGGGAGACTACAGAAGTGAGACTGGGTGACCAGTTTTGCTGTCTGTACCATCTTCAGATGTTTCCCAGGAGTTTGCAGATGCATTCGGTAACATAAACTAGCTGTCTACCCCCAGTGATAAATCGACCCACACCCTCACAATCTTGAGATTTTCTCCTGAAAATGCCAATGAAAACATCTTCAGTATACAGTGACTGGAAAATGAATTATCAAGTAGACAACAGTGAGTGCTTAGGGGTTGAATTGTTTTTTTCATTTATTTGTGTCTGCTGCCATGTCCATGACCCCTTTGGTTTTAGAGTTAAATCGATTTTAAAAAAATTTCAAACTTAGCTTTCAAAAAGTGTTTTTTTTTAAAGCTAATCATGTTTTTGAATGTCCGCAAAGAGCAAATAATCCCTGAAATGAAAGGATAAGACACAACTGACTGTTTCATGTGAAACGTGGTTGAATCAAGACGGGGGGGAAAAAAGTCTGATGATGTGGAGCTTTGCAGCCATCTTTGATTTCCTACGCCGCCTGTCTGGTCTCTCCGGCTACTTCAAGGCTTTAGCTCCTCAGCAAACATGAGAATGTAACTCTGCAGTGAGTGGGAGCTCTGCCATCTTTAAAACACATTTCATCTCGCTCGCCCCTCCCCTTCTTTTTTTCTCTGTCTTTCTATCTTTCTGGTTCGACTCAGGGAGGAGTTGAGGTGAAGTTCTCGGGAGTGTCCAACAATTACTTTTTTTTTGGGTACAGAGGGGGGAGGAAAGAGAACGGGCCTTTCTGTGAGCAGGAGGCAAAGAAGAGCTTATCTGGAAGAGTTCAGTAAACTGTAATATAACAGAACCAAGATGTAACCTCCTTTGTTTCTATATTATTTTAGAGCGGCTTAAATAGTTAGTGCTAGTACCTACCATGTTGCAAAACCCAACTTTATAACACATAATTGATGATAAAGTCATTCAGAAACAACAAGCTTTTTATCATTATGATCTGCATTAAAACCCCAAAAAGTGTTTGTCCAGGCTCACAGAAGAGTTTCAAAGTGGAGATCCTTTTCCTTTCCACCTGACGGACACACTAGTTTTCATATTTAGTGTTTATTGAGCAAATGTAAGTATGTCTTGGTGATTGAAGAAAGACAACTTTTCTCCTTCTTGAATTCATGGTGCAGCAAATATCCTTTATGAGATGCAGAATAAGATAAGACGGAATAGGGAGGTAATTCTTTACATCACTGGTTGAAGTCATGAACTGATTCTACTGGTTTATTCCTTCATAACCAGCAATCGTCTCTCATTCAAAGAATAGGATCTCAACAGTCATCGTGTGCCATTAGAACATTTTCCTATTGTGATTATTCCTCCTGTGACACAGGGCTGCTGCACTGAGCTATACATTTGTTTTAGTCGTGAATAGATTGATTCTGGTTAATAATGTAAATGTGAGAGTTTAAACACTGAGTGCAGCACTGCATTCATTTAGAAATATATTTATGCTGTGTGCTTTACTCACTGTAAAGGACAGTGGATGTGTAATATAAGGTAGCATGAGGGCCACGCTGACTGTTGTTGGAGTGGAAGGAGAAAAGATGGCATGTTTGGTCATGTGGGCAGGTAAGAGCTGCTCAGAGAGAGAGAGGGAGAGAGAGAGAGGTTGAAACTAAATCTCTCCTTCACACCTGTCTTTTGTCAGAGTAAAGCTCCAGCAGACTATGTTCAATGTGAATCCCTGCATTCCACTAATAAGCTTTTTGCAGAGTCATTGTAAACTGATCTAAAGAGTTTAGCAACTTTACGGAAATATCCAGATGTAGAAACAGAAACATTATTTTATTTTAACACGTCAATTGTTTGGGAAATTATTAATGCATGTGGTTTGAAAAAAAAATGTGAAAAATGACACAAATCTGCTTGACTGCATAATCGACATTGTTGGCAGCCACATAATACACAAAATAGCAAGGTTGCCACGAGAATGCCATAAACAATAGAAGAATAAGGCTTAGATGTGAGAAGTTTTTCAAAGAAATCCTTGCGTAAAAACGGCAAACTGACAATTAAATGATTACAATTAAATTATAATAGATCAACAATAGTTCAATAGATATTGCTACACTCCGTCTAAAAGTTACTTTCTTCAATAAATACAAAGTGGAGAAGAATCGGGCCCTCTCGGTACCAATTGAAGCCCACCGATGTGCACCAAAACGGACACATTTTACGCGCAAACCTAAACTGCGCGTAAGGTTGGATACCAGCCGCCCGTATCTCAGTACTGACACTCCGGATTCCCTGCAACCCGTAAAAGAGGGGAAAAACGTAGGCCTTCTTCTCCCTTTTAAACCTCGACGCTGTCCACGTCCTCAAAAAGAATGGATCTAATTAAAACGTTGCACTCGTCATCATCGCAAAAGCGTTGCCAAACGGGTTCTGGTGGAGAGGAGGCTGGGAGATGCAGCACCACATGACTGAGTGTGAGCTGGAGAGGGATGGGAGTCAGATTGGGTTTCTCTTCTCTCATTGGCCGGTGGGCTGACTTTTGACACGCAGACCAGGGACCCTCCTGCCGTATAAATAGGCCTGGTAGAACATTATTATTCTAGCATCACGGCAGCAGGTTTCCGCTCAGTTTGGAGTTACTCGTGTCATCACAACTGTAAGCCTGCTTGAAGGGTGATTTAAAAACAGGGGTTTAGCAGCACAAGGAGTCTGCATGTCTGCGTAGACATGCTCAGCTTTGTGGATACTCGGATTCTGTTGCTGCTTGCAGTAACTTCATACCTAGCGTCATGTCAATGTAAGTTTGAATATCTGCTCTTTTTCTGTGATGGATATCTTTTTTCTCGGGTCCCACTGCTTGAGGATCTTGCGCTTTGACTTTTATTTGGGACTTACATGAAGGTCAACCTGAAGACAGCTCAAAGCACTGCAGACTAAAGCTCAACGGATTTAGCTCATGCAGAGGATTCTTCACCTTTTTTTTTACCCAAGGATACAATAATTTTATATTTCATTAGTTTCCGAGAGGGAGAAGTTGCACTCCTGAAAAAAGTTTTCTCGCTTTGAAAGAGACCTCTAAAGTAATCGACCTAGTGACTTTTTAAAACTTGTAATGCATGTGGAGTCATCAAAATAGACTAAATGTGTATTTTTCTTTCAGACATTAGATGAAAAACTTCGTGGGGCGTTGTACGTATTGTTCCATCCAGACGTCCAGCTAATGAAGCTTTATTATAGGAAACGGCGATGCCTCCCCCTGGTGGCCATGAGGGCAAACTTCTACTTGGCACCAATTCGATTTTTTTCTCTCTAAAGAGAAGCGCATCTGTTTTTTTTTAAAGTAGAAATTAGACTAAATGCTTATATATTATAGTATTTCTAGATTTGCGTTAAACCTGGTCTATAACTGTCTTTATAGTTACACTTTACTGCGGAATTTATCATTATTTAGGACACAAAACGATTTAAAGAATATACCACAAAATATGCATTTATGTTAAAGCTTCTTGGTAACTTTTTTACTATTACAGTAAAAAAGTTTAAAATGGGGAGATAAATTGTCTCCCATCACCTTGAATGTCCAAGTGCGCCGCCTTGTGGTGTAGATTGGACATGAAGCGTTAGAGTTCATGGGGAGGTCCCAGCTGGGCCAAACCCAGCCATGACCAGCTGATGTCCACCTGCAACACATTTTCGATGAGAGAGACACATGTCAGCCATGAACATCGGCCATATTGCAGTCATCAGATAATCAAAACTGCTTTACAATTTTGGCTTTTACTAGGCTTCAATCTAATTGGGCTAAAATTCACCTCTTTTTAACACAAAATCTGAAAATGCACCTTTTAACAATATAGCAGCAGGAATCTAAACAGGATAAATAACTGATGTCAAACATCCCCCAATACAAGTGATGTAGTTCTTATCTTGTTTGCAGTAGCAGCCCAACTATTCCTGTCCCAAGGGCACAAACTACCAGTCCGGGCCTGTTAATAGCCGGATCCTTCTGGAATGCTATTCAACGCTGAGATTCACATTCAATACAGAGTTAGACAAACGCTGAAGGCGTTTAGCATGCAGAGATGGCCCTCAGCTACACTTTCACACATCAAGCAGATTGATAGCAAGAGCCAGATGTTTTAAGCCTGACAGAAGGTTTTGTTCAACATTTCGAAATTCTGGTCAGAAGGGTCGCTTTATTTTTAAACTTGTCTTGAGCTCTGACACATTATTTAAGCCCGAGATGACGTTTAACGCCATCAAAACACACAAGCAGTGCAGCTTTCTGTTGCTTTCTGTTGCTACCTTTGAAAGGAAAAAAATACGTTGTCTTTGAATATGGGATTATTAGATTTTAACATGGCTACTGTGCATTTTATTCCAGTCTTGTTTCTGCATAGTGTAGTTGCAGTCTTGTGTGTACATTTTACTAAACTTTGTTCTCATTCAAAGGCAAACAGAACTCTTTTCACTGACCCAAAGAAAGAGTTAATGCAATCAAAAAGAATAGAGATGGATTGAAATGACACTGTTTCTGACTGTTTTGCTCTCAAAATGCGTATCATGTTCTAACGGAGTATTCCCTCTTCTCTCCCCACCCTCATGTTCTCCCTCTTCCTCCTCCCCATCTCTCCAACGCCACAGACTCGGTTAGTACACACGCATGATATCATGAAAGCAACAATTCTTAATGATAGCTTTACCTTGTCTCTTTGCTGTTTTAATCTTCCAAGCGCTGTGAAATATTCCATGACAGCAAGACATCTCGTTTGGTCTTGACCATATGAGCAATCTCAACGATGGCAGAGAATTTAATTTCGGAGTTTCTGCCCCTGAACCAAGTTATTTCTTTCAGTTTTCTCCCTTCCTGTCCATGAATAGGTGAGGGTCCTATTGGCTAAAGTTTGTGTCAATGAAAGCTAAAACCACAGCTCTGAGGCACCCATGGGGCCTGGTACAAAGGATCCTTTCTAAGGGGCAGAGGGAGGTTTGCCCCTAACAGCTGGCTTTGGGTCAGTTTGGAGTCGTCCCCTGCTCCTTGATCAGGATTTGATTTTGATTTATGAATGCTGATCTCAGACCAGTTAGGAAAGGTTGAGATCTTCAGCTCAGATAAGCTAAAAATAGAAAAGTATTTCATTGTTATAAATCAGACTGAGGCCCCTCTAATGGAAGACAAACAAAACCCGATGAGTGTTTGTTTGAATGACTCTGCTCATAATTGAGATTGCCCAAATCAGCATGGTGTTTGCAGCATTTTAATGTTTTAAAGGTGCAGTATGCACTGTGGGGTTCTGGTAACAACTCAGAACTTGTATTTGTTCCATGGACTAACATATACTCTGCTAAGAGGTTGTTGAGTCTGGTTTGGGACGCTCCTTTTAGCATCTCTGTGCACATGTTGATTATTTATACCACATGCACATTGCTCTGCTGCGTTTTCATTGTAACTCCTGTATCTGCATGAGCATGTTTAATTTATCCTCATCATAGTATCACATCTTAATTAGCATGCTTAGCTGTTTCTTGCGATAGTCACTCATCATCATGCTTACGCAAAAGATAAGAGAGCTGAACGTTCGCAATAGCCTACACGTTAAATGGCCTGAGAAGACTAAATAAATCTTACATTTATTTGTCTTCTTTCATTTTTATTTAGGGAAAAGTCAAGGTGAGCACATAATGTTGTTCTTATGTGTCATTCACCTGCAGTGTGACATATCAGACGCACAAAGTGTAGTTTGGATTAGAAAAGGTCAGAGGGCATCTTTATGATGTCTGTTTTAATCACTGAAATGTGTTTTAACTTGCTTATCCTCTCGCTGGAAGATCAAGTTTGCTTTCATACACATTTTTTTGATTTATCATATACCAGATTGTTTGAATATAATTCATATCTGGTTTTGATATGCTTTTCGTTACATTGACATAGTTCAGATTAGATGCCTGCTTTGCTGGGGGAATGTTTAGGATCTGACATGTTGCTACAGCAGCAATTGTTCTGGTCTGACTGAGTGATTTTCTGCTGCAGGGTCCCCAAGGAGACAAAGGACCTCGAGGTGACAGGGTAAGCTGAAGCGAAACTCTGCTTCCTTCGATCAAACAACTGTTACCAATTATGACATTTATGCAATTAATGTGGTGCATTTTGTATGTATCTTTGGCTCTGTGTTTGTTGACATCATTTGACCCTCTAACCTTATTAGGCCACACCCCTTTCTTTACATCATCCATAGGCCCTAGGTTTTAGGGACACTAATAGTGATGTGCATGGATATGATGGGTACTATTTCAAATATTTACTTCATTTATTGTATTAGCAAATTAATTTTTCAAAGTAGAATTTTGTTCCCCTCATTGTTACTGAAATAAAGTCTGCTCATCATATCTTATAATAACACAATCAGCTACAACAGTGATCAAGCTTTATCTATTTATCTCTTGATTCTGTTCATTCATGAAACACAATAATCGAACAATCACAAGAAAACCATCCTATCAGCAGCTGTTCATCCAGCAACAGTGTTTGCTCACTATGTCATCTGTGTTTTACAGGGTGCTCAGGGCCCAAATGGAAGAGATGGCAAACCCGGACTCCCTGGCACCGCTGGCCCCCCTGGTCCCCCTGGGCTCGGAGGAGTAAGTCTCTTTATACTCGCTAAATAAGCCGCTTAGCTCAACAGTGTATATCTCAAAAGTGGTCCAAAAACTATAACGATAATGCAGTTTCAGCAGTGGTTTGACTTCCAATGATTCTCATGATGCAAACTGCAGACAAAGCATTGAAATATGTCTGTGTGATGTGTGTGTCTGAGCCAAATTTGGCTCATTCGGGGCTGCAGGCCACGTTTCTGTGCAGCTCTGGCTGGCAGCGTTTATAATCACTCCTGCTGCTTTGCTTTTTTTTAATGTCATAACCCTGTGACTTTTGACCCTTTGTCCTTCACCTATTTGTCACTATGACCCAACAGAGCAGCACAACTAGATTTCTGTTAGTGCTATTAGTTAAATCTCTTTGAAGAGCTATATACTGTAGGATGCTGACTTCCATGTTATGGTAAATCTGATTATAGGTGCAAAAAGGACCAATTTAAAGTAGCACATGCAGCTGTTGTATGTTCCTACAGTATCTTTTCATGGCTGATTGTTGTGTCATGCCAATTACATCAACTTGGACTACTGGAAACAGTGACCACTGCTATTCCTTGGTACTGGATCAATGCTCTGCTTGTCCGATAATGACAATATGACTGATTAATCTGTGGTGTTTTTTTCTTCTTTTTATCAGAACTTTGCTGCTCAGTATGATGGTGTAAAAGCTCCCGATGCCGGCCCTGGACCCATGGTGAGGGACCCTCTCTTTCTACCACATACACACGCAAATAAACACACACCTTTATCTACACACACACCCCAACCAACCTTTGTTTCAATAGATACAGACTTCACAGGACCTGAGCTGTCTGTTACTTCTATGTGTGTCTTTACATTCTTGCCTTCACATAAATACTTATAGTCCATGCTAGGATACTTACCTCACACCTTTGAATTCTGATTCTAGTCCTCACACACAGGACAAAGCGCACCAGCGTAGATTATTTTATTGTTGATAAATGATGTGTATAATTAACTTATTTCTCCTTTTCAGGGTATAATGGGCGCTAGAGGCCCTCCTGGACCTCCTGGACCTCCTGTAAGTTCACACACACCCTGCTAATTTAAATTCAATCTGCTGTTACTATAATGTATACATGACTCTATACTATCTATAACTGCCTCTTGTCATTCAACAGGGAGCTCAGGGACACACTGGACACCCTGGTGAGCCCGGAGAGCCTGGACAGACTGTAAGATTATCTTCCAAAATACACACCATTCTTCAAATTATCATGTGTTTAGAATTGCTTTGTGCTCATTTCTTTGTCAGACTCATCCATGTGATGCCACAATCCTAAAAGTATTTGTTGTCTTTGCGATCTTAAATGTTCTGGTTTTCCTTCCCAAGGGTCATTTTGGTTCCACTGGCCCCTCCGGACCCCCTGGCAAATCTGGAGAGGATGTACGTATACATTTGTGTTTCTACAGGCCCTTTTCCGGCACTACTTTGGTTTTCTTGTAATCTTGTAATGGTTCTGAGTTGCTGCTGTTGAGTTTCTTAACAGCTACAATGTGAAATGAAAATGTCTGTTTTGCTGACTCACAGGGTAACAACGGCAGACCTGGCAAGCCCGGAGACAGAGGTACCCCCGGCCCACAGGTAAGAGATGTTCTCCGAAAACAAGGAGAACAAAAACGAACAGATACAAAACAGACATCTGAACGATAAATATGAAGCATGTCTCAGTAATACTTTCTCTATTTTGAATGGCAGGGCGCTCGTGGATTCCCTGGAACCCCTGGACTTCCAGGAATGAAGGGACACAGAGTGAGTGTTGATCTTTTCCTCTACGTGGTTTACCTAATCCCCTGAAGCCCACTGGCTTCAAGGCAAGCAGCCAAAACTGCTCCAAAACAACAACAAAAATGGTGGAAAAGCTACACCTGTGCTGTGTGGAATAAATAGATTGGGAGCATCGTGGGAGTGATTATAGAATTAACTTCCTTTTTCCTGCCTCATGAGGAGCAATGTAGAATTATAACAGAGCTTAATGGCTGCCATTTAAGATTTTTAGTCCCTGTTTTGCATGAGAAATTCTCCAGCCAGACAGTAAAACTTCCTGGGAAACCACCTTTGCAAACAGCTTCCTGAATGTCTTACGTGATACTTTGGATGTCAGTACATATTCTCATAAGAGGTCGAACAAGCATCCCAAATACTGATCCCTCTGATAATCTGATCGATCTAATGAGGATCCCCGTCTCATCACTTTGTCCCTTATCTCTTCTTAATTGTTTCTGGAGTAGCACAGTATATTTCCAATTAATAGGAGTGATAATAATAGCACTCTCTATTCCTTTATATAGCCCACAGGCTGTCATGTGATGTCTGTTTGCCCTTATGAACATCTTCCATCATCACTCTCTTTCTGTGCTACAGGGCTACACTGGTTTGGATGGACGCAAGGGAGAGAACGGTGGTGCCGGTTCCAAGGTAAGGAGGGCACCCAATGAGTACTTCATTTCATGTCGGATCCCAGTTTCTCTTGTATTGATGTCGATGTCAGCCTACTGATAAGTTCAGGGTTAGACTTCCGAGTAATGTATTGTAGTTTCTGCAAGGATGCATTTACACAACTTAGTTTATCTAGTGTAAGTAGATATATAACGCACACACACACAAACCAAAATTCAGTTTAATGTTACCAATACTTTGTCAGGTTTTTCACCTCTGACCTTGAGTCCCTTCACTCCAGATACCTAATCTCCTCTCCTGTCTCTACTATAGGGTGAGAATGGTGCCCACGGTGCTTCTGGAAGTTCTGGACTCGCTGTAAGTTTTTGATCGAGTTTAGCATTTGTGCACAAAAACCTTAGTTACCTTGGTAAACCCTGCCATAATAATAACTTAGCCATCGTTCATCATTTGCCATTACACGACTGCAGTAAAGACACATTTCTCATGACTTCTATTTTGTGTGTATTCTCTCTTTAGGGAGCTCGTGGTACGACTGGTGAGAGAGGCCGTCCCGGTCCTGCTGGCCCTGCTGGTTCTCGTGGTGCTGATGGCAATGTTGGACCCTCTGGCCCTGCTGTGAGTATTGGCCTTTTAAACTCTTGTAAGATGAATGCATTTTGTGAATATTGAACTCAAGATACCAATCCAGATTGTACTTGGTGATTGATATTTTAAAGTATATAGTAATGACAATGTGTAATATAATGTCAGAGGAAGGATAAATATGCTACTAAATATTGATTATATGGATATTATTGCACCCATATTAGACAAATGTAATGTGAGCTTTGACCTATGTTACATATATCTGGATGTCAT